CCGCGAGCCGGGGGGCTGCGCCGGGATTACCTGTCCATGGTGATCTGCCAGTAGGTTTCGGCGGAGAGGGGGATCCAGTTGATGCCGTTGGTGGTGTAGGAGGGGTCGATGGCGCCGAAGAGGACAAAGCTGCCACTCTGCTCGTCCCTGCAAGGGGGGAGTGAGCCATGTCCCCCCGGAGCCGTGGGGCATCACGCCACCGGGGAAGGGTGCCGGAGCCAGGGGAAACGGGAGAAAATCCTCAGCAAGGGCTGGGCGGCTCCGGCCAGGGCTTACTTGCTCAGGAAGACGGAGAAGAGGTCCCTGGACACGAGGTGTTCCGACATCATGTTGTCAAAGACAGGGGTGGCTCCGGAGGAGGCGATGCTCGGGAAAGCCAGCCCCAGGATGCCATCGAAGGGGCAGTAGTAGAAGAAATTGCCAGGCTCTGTCTCAGCCAGCCCGAAGATCTGGTCGATGATCTTGAGGCCCGCGACCTGGTTGGGGAGATGGGGAGAGGGAGAAGGGCTTGGTTTGGGCAGGCGGTGCCCCGGTCTCCCCACTCCCGTGGGATGGGGGGGCTGGTGCACCCCGCCTTACGGTGACGGGGTCGTAGCAGGCGATGTAGAGGCTGTCGTTGGTGCCGACGAAGGTGGAGGAGTCCGCTGGGTTGAAGCGCTTGTGGTCGCCTGTGGGTACGGGAGGGAGACGGTCACGGTCCGTCCTGACCTCAGGGACCAAGGACGAGCCTCCTGTGCCTCCCCCGTTGCCAGACGGCCCTTGGGAGAGACCGGGCAGAGCCGTCCTCGGCTCCCAACCCCGCCAGGGGCTCCCGCAGCCAGGCAGGGCAGGGGCCTGGCCAAGCCTGGGGCTTCTGCTGCCTTCACATCTTGCCCGGCCGGCCACGGGGCTACCAGACACCTACTGCAGGACAGGCTGGAGCAGTACACCGAGGGCACCCACAGGTTGGAGGAGCCGGTGTCAAAGATAACGGTGAACTCCTGGGGTGGGGTGCCGATGGAGATGGTGCCGAAGTACGAATTCTGTCAAAGCGGGATGAGGAAGGGATTAGTGGGATGGCTAAGGGGCTAGCAGGATGGCTAAGGGGCTAGCAGGATGGGTAAGGGGTAGTGGGTCGGGTAAGGGGTTAGGGGGTCAAGTAAGGGATTAGGGGGTCGGGTAAATGAATAGCAGCATGGGTAAAGAGCGAGTGGGTCGGGTAAGGGGTTAGGGGGTCAAGTAAGGGATTAGGGGGTCGGGTAAATGAATAGCAGCATGGGTAAAGAGCGAGTGGGTCGGGTAAGGGGTTAGGGGGTCAAGTAAGGGATTAGGGGGTCGGGTAAATGAATAGCAGCATGGGTAAAGAGCGAGTGGGTCGGGTAAGGGGTTAGGGGGTCAAGTAAGGGATTAGGGGGTCGGGTAAATGAATAGCAGCATGGGTAAAGAGCGAGTGGGTCGGGTAAGGGGCTAGGGGTAAGGGTAAGGGGCTATGGGGATGGGTAA